GGGTGGGTGGATATATAATAATAATGTTACATAATAATATAATAACAAGCACACTGTGTACAATTTTTGAGCCAGTTGTGTATCCTAATTGTTATGCCATTCAGCCCAAAGTTAACTCTTTTGCCAATTGACATATCATAGGATTCTTTATGAAATGCTTTGCTGAGGTAAAGGTATGTTACGTCTGCAGAATTCCCACAGTCTACTGAGAAATTAAAATTAGAAGGGATTAGTCTGGCAAAAATTGTTTTGACTATACTGATTTATGATAATCATTGCAGTTTTGAAATGCTTATAGCTAGACACTTTATAATCTATTCTAGAATCTTCCCTAGTATCAGTGCAAGACTCATTGGCCTATAGCTTGCTCCATCTTCCTTTTTCCCCTTTTTGAAGATAGGTATCATATTTGTTCTCCTCTAGCCATCAAGCACTTCAATTTCCAGAATTTCTCAAAGATAATATATAAGGACCAGACTGCCAACTAGTTCTTTAGTAACTAAGGAAGAAGTTCATCTAGATCTAGAGATTTAAATTCATTAAAAGTACACAGTTGTTCCCTGATTCTGTCAGTCTCCAGTTGCAATTCTGACCCTTTATTTTGTCCTTCACAATTTCCTATGGAAAATGCTGAACCCAAATAGGAGTTATTTAATGCTGCCTTTTCTTTGTTACCTGTTAGCATGTTGCCTTCTTTATCAAGCGGCTGGTATACTGATTCTTTTATTTAAGCATATCTAAAGAAGCCATTTTTGCTATTCTTAGCATCCTTGCTACCCTTAGCTCACCTCAGCTCATTCTGAACATTCGCTTTCCTGACATCAGCTCTGTTAGTAAGCTACCTGACTGTATTCTTCCTCTGTTACTTGACTGTCTTTCCATTTTGTGTGTATGTCCTTTTTGTTTTCAGATATTCACTAAGCTTTTTGTGTAGCTGGACTGGCTTCTTTTAGTATCCTCCATTTTTTCTCCTCACTGGAATTGTTTGCCATTATGCATTTAATACCCTCTTCTTTAGGAGCTTGCACCTATTTTAAGTTCCTTTTCTTATTAGTTTCTCCCTTTATGGAATCCCACTTATATTTGTTCTGAATTTACTAACATATTTTTTTGAAGTCCCAAGATACAGCACATGTTTAACTACATTAAAACTAAATGTAGTTAAACATGTGCTGTATCTTGGGACTTCAAAAAAAGATGTTACTAGTTTCCTTAAAATCAAGAATGCCAGCAATATATGGTCACTTTCCTCCAGTATTCCTGCTACGTCCATTTCCTCAACTAAATATTTCCTAACTATTAGTAACTGATTGTCTTGTATCTCTTGTGTCTTGTATGTTCTTCCACTGTCTGAAGGAGGAAGTTATCAACAAGACAAGTCGGGAGTGATAAATATGAACCGGCAGAAAGTTCTTTCTGTGGGGAACATTCAGTACAAATATATACAAGCAATCCTGAATAACTGTTCTTATATTGTGTTCATGTTACATTGTAGAAATCAAGAATACAGTAGTGGAGAGCAGTGTTCTTAAATAGGGCAGAGTGGTATGGAATCAATATTCCTGCTACTGACATTACTGACCATTCAGGTTTTCATGCCACATTCAGAAGTTATAATGAACCTGAAATGGGGTTATGTCTTGTTTCGTGTGCATCTGATTTTTAGTCCTAGCAATCTTTATTCTACTCAGTCTGTATTTTTTCACTAGTGCTTTTAAATAAAATATGTGCAAAATGGGGCATCTGATATGTTGCAAGCAGAATTAAGTACAGTCTGGAGCTCCATGGCAAAGCATGTATTTTGCATGCAGAAGGTGCTAGGTCCAGTCTTGAAATGTTTTAATGTAAAGTTCTATCAGGTAACAGAAGATGAATGATTTCTACCTGACATCGTAACAAGTTGCTGCTATAGAAAGTAATTAATGCAGAGTAAGTTGAACAAACAGTCTTGTCACATATAGGCCATCTTCTTACCTGCAGATCGGTATAAGGAAAAGCAGCCAGCTCCACAGATTGCAACTAAAATGCAGCGAATAAGCATCTTAGCAGGGGCATCTGTGAGGAAGGGGAGCAAAGGGGGCAAATGGCACATATCTGATACACACAAATGCTGCAACTAATGGACTCAAATAAGACATTGTAATGCAAGAATGTAACTGAGTCATTTTCATGATTATATCATCACAAATGCCATCATCTTAACATCACAGGTTTTTATGAATGCCACTGTATTTTAATATGATTCAATACCTGCTGAATTTTTAGTGGCAAGGGTTTGGGATCTATGATCTCTACTTGTAAATCAACAAATGGGAAATTGTGTCGGGAAATTATGTTATTTAAGCCATTTTTTTTCTGACAATCTGGGAGTGCTGCTTTTTCACAGCAATAGCTATAAGGCAGGTCAAATCAGGTCAGTTAAATTTTTCTTTTCTGAAAACAATTATGCTGTAAGTTAAAAGATTATAGCTCTTCAAAATTGACTTACCTTTTTCAGGCAAAATCTGTGAAATATTAATCTGTTCTTTTTTCAGTGCTCTAGTGTTTAAATTTTCATACCAGATTAAGCTGTTTAGAACATAAAATGCACAAATTTTAACTTTCCTGTAATGCAGAGTTGAGCCTTTAGCCATGCCTTTGTAAAACTGCCTTTTAGGATCTTTTTTCCAACAGACAGTTTGCACATTAAGTGCATTTTCTGGAACACTGAATCTTTCATTATTGTTTTATCCTATAAACTCAATAGCACAAGAGACTGTATATCATCCAAGGCCAGCAGTGGATGCCGAACTAAGAGACTCTAGTTTTCCAGCTTGACAAGACTTAAAGAATATTTTTGATGTAGTTGGTTGAAATACAATAGCACTTTTTGCTGTTTTAGAAATATGCAGTTTGTTTGTGGAGGCTTTAAACCATTATTGTAGATCCCAATATACAAGCAAGCCTTATCAATTACTACAAAGGACAGAATTTAAATGACAGATTGCACTTTCATTGCAGAATATATTTACAGCATTGCTGGGATTTTTGCTAGATTTCTTTGTAGTCAATATCTTGGGAGTGAAAAAAAAATTTAAAAAGCTGCTCAGTTCCACTCCAAAAATTGTAATTTAATTTTTTTTAAATGTGTGAAAGGAATTGATGGGTATTTTGATGTGTGGACAGATGACGTCTCCTTGTTGTTTGCATCTAATTTGTAAACTTAGTTCTTCCTTGTTTGTTCTTGTTTAGCTTTCAATTTAAAGATTCAGGAGACACACACAAAACTGCCATTTAACTCCACTATGAATATTTTCATGCCAACTATTAATAATTTACAATGTGTTAAACAGCTAAAATCATTGAACTAGAATGAAAAAATGTTTTAACTGGTTGCTATTCATATTCATATGGCATACTTTTACAGTATTTATTTATTCTCCTTCTTGCTTAGACATAAATTGTTCCAATTTCTTTGAATGATTACAAATTCATAGAGCAAGGGGCAGGAAGGATAAGCCAGTAATTATAGCTCTTCCTACACTTCAGTTATTCCTGGACCTGCTGCTGATCCAGATATTTTCTCATAGAGTGGTCACAAAAGTTGGATTTACATAATGCATGTGAGAAATGATTGGGTAGTCTTCCCATTTTCTTTCTCATAGTTTCTCCCTCCTAATTGTTCACAGGGACTTAAAGCTGCAGATAACGACCCTACAGCTCCTCCATATGACTCTCTTCTAGTCTTTGACTATGAGGGAAGTGGTTCCACCGCTGGATCTTTGAGCTCCCTCAACTCTTCAAGTAGTGGTGGCGAGCAAGACTATGATTATCTAAATGACTGGGGTCCACGTTTCAAGAAACTTGCTGATATGTACGGGGGAGGTGATGACTGAATGCCGTGGTGGCCAGCGTTGCATTTGGACAAGTACAAACCTTTTCACTGGTATTCCCAACAAGCGTACAGAAGCTAGGCTTTAACTTTGTAGTCTACTAGCACAAGTGCTTGCTGAAGGCTTTGGCATAGGCTGCAAACCTATTTGGGCTCACTGGGAATATCAGTCATCCAATGCTGTTTGGAAAAAAAAGGAAAACAAACAATTGAGCTCAGTTACACTTGAATTTTACAGTACAGAAGCACTGGGATTTTATGTGCCTTTTTGTACCTTTTTCAGATTGGAATTAATTTTATGTTTAAGGCTTTAAATGGTACTGATTTATGAAAAAATGAAGAAAAACCACATTGGGGGTGGGGAGAAAGCGCAGTCACCAATATGCTTCAACATGCTTTTGTTACATTACATTGCTTTTATTAAAATAACAAAATTGAAAAAAACCTCATGGGAAAATTTTGTTATTGGGGAGATGTGGGGGAAGAAGGCCATAAAAAATGTACAATACTTCTAGTTTTAGATGCTAGGGTTTTTCACTAAAATTCTAAATCTTATGCAGCTGGTTGCAAATAAAGGGAGTTTTCATATCACCAGTTTGTAGCAGAACTGATTTTCTTTTCTTATGATAGAATGTTACACACATTTTGGTCTTAATCCATATACACATTTTTTTAAAAGCATTTTCCAGTACTTTTTTTCCCACTTCACTGTAAAAAATGGTATGTGTACATAATGTTTTATTAGCATAGTCTTTGGGAAGTGCTGAAACTTCCAAACATGTGTATGTATTATTTGGACTATGGATTCAGGTTTTTGCATGTTTATATCTTTTGTTATGGGTAAAGTATTTACAAACAGGTTGCAAACAAGTGACATTGATTCAATTGTTGAGCTGTAGTTAGAGTACTCAAGGTTTGAGTTTTTTAAATTAATTTTTTGTTTGTTTTATTTGTTTGGGGTGGGCAAAAAGTTCTTAGCACAAATGTTTTACATAATTTGTACCAAAAACAAATAAAACTGTGTGAGAGAGAGAAAGAAAGG